TAAACAAAATGCATTTTTAGAATGTTCATTCAATCATCTAATAATGAATGGGGTCCAAATCAAAATAAATGATCATTTCCAACCATAGTGATGAAAAAAATCAAAAGAGCAGGATAGGAATTTTTTATCGAACGCATAAAATTCTAACAGTGAACGGGGATTTCATTCATTTCAAAATTGAAAATAACAATTTTGAATGACATTCATCAAGTCTCAAGTGCTATCAAGAGATGGCATTATCAGATGTTATGAAAAAAAATGTCATACCATCTACCAATGTATGGCCAGCATTAGTCTGTGTTTCTGACAGTACTGATACTGGAAGACATGACAGTGAAATCATGAGGGCATGCATTCCCTCATGTCTATGCAGGCTAGAGAAGTACCTGGTAGGGCTGATTTACTAAAGGAGTATTGCATGTGCACTAAGCAAAGTAAAGCTGGGTAATCGTCTAATCATGAGCAATCAGAAATCCTGTTTTTCTTTTCTTTGTATATGACTGAGTATTTTTTGTACAGTGAATTTTCACTTAGTTTGACCTTATTTACTAAGCTAAGTGAAAATTCAGTTTGCAAAGTGAACATGCTCTACTTTAACAAGTCAGGGTTACTGTAGACAGTTGCCTTATGTTGTAGTTATTTATTAATGCAGCATTGCAGTATGCGGTTTATAAAGCAAATTGCTAATGGTGTTAGGTACCTAACTAGCATATATTCACTTGTCTATAATTTATCTAAGAATTTGCCAAGGTGTGCCACCAAAGACACTGTAATCCTGATTACAAACACCAAGCTTACAATTATATTTATGCTGTTTAATCTAAATTCCATTTCCACTGTTGATTACTCGGCAGCAACAGTATAAATGTAGGCAATACTTACTCCTGCACTGCTTCAGTCTGCTCTACACAGTTTGCTTTATGCAATACTGTACACACAATACATATTAATAACTAAGACAACTATAATGTAACAGTATTCCTATTCTGACAGCGCAGTGTTATAATGTTGGTCCAATGGAAGACAATAATGTAGGTGTATAAGGAACAATGTAAAACAAGGATGTTTACCACTATTTAGAAGCACTAAATGCAAAAATATTTTGCAATAGTGTACTAGTGTTATAGACAAAACCCCCAGGAAGATTAACCAAGCTGTCATACTGCATGCCACTGTGAGTCTAATATTGTATTACAAGGTATATCAAATCTATACTTGTATTAGAATATTGACCTTTCCAGGTTACAGCCTGCTAGCTGCCAACAACCCTGAATGACTGGACCTGTGAATAGACTTCAATAGCATCCTGACTCCCCTCTTACCTAACAATGAATAGAATTCCATAGCATTCTGACTCCCCTTTTACCTACCAATTAATAGAATCCTATACCCTCCTGGCTCCCCTCTTACCTACCAATGAATACAATCCTATACCCTCCTGGCTCCCCTCTTACCTACCAATGAATAGAATCCTATACCCTCCTGGCTCCCCTCTTACCTACCAATGAATACAACCCGATACCCTCCTGGCTCCCCTCTTACCTACCAATGAATAGAATCCTATACCCTCCTGGCTCCCCTCTTACCTACCAATGAATACAATCCTATGCCCTCCTGGCTCCCCTCTTACCTACCAATGAATAGAATTCTATACCCTCCTGGCTCCCCTCTTACCTACCAATGAATACAATCCTATACCCTCCTGGCTCCCCTCTTACCTACCAATGAAGAGAATTTGCTAGCATCCTGACTCCCCTCTTACCTACCAATTAAGAGAATTTGCTAGCATCCTGACTCCCCTCTTACCGTACCTACCAATGGATATAATTTTATAGCATCCTGACTCCCCACTTACCTACCAATGAAGAGAATTTGCTAGCATCCTGACTCCCCTCTTAACTACCAATGAATAGAGTCATATACCCTCCTGACTCTCCTCTTACCTACCAATAAATAAAATCCTATACCCTGCTGGCTCCCCTCTTACCTACCAATTAATAGAATTGAATAGCATCCTGACCCTCCCCTTACCTACTAATAAATAGAATCCTATACCCTCCTGGCTCCCCTCTTACCTACCAATAAATAGAATCCTATACCCTCCTGGCTCTCCTCTTACCTACCAATGAATAGAATCCTATGCCCTCCTGGCTCCCCTTTTACCTACCAATGAATATCAGTTTATAGCATCCTGACTCCCCTCTTACCTACCTATGAATAGAATTGTATAGCCTCTAACCTACCAATGATTACCCTCTTACCTACCAATAATTAGGATTTCATGCATCCTGACTCCCCTCTTACCTACCAATAAACAGAATTCTAAAGCATCCTGACTCCCCTCTTACCTACCAATGAATGGTAAGCTCTTTTCCAAGCAGTACCTAATACTGCTGCTTGCAACACTGGTATGTAACTATATATGTATTTAAATTATTGTGATGATGGTTCTGCCTGTTCCTAGCAAATCATTATAGGACCAGAAAGAAGGGATCAAAGCATTATCAAAGGTAAAAGCATGATCTTACTGTTTGCTGCAACCACTGCTGTCAGGTTACAAGGATAGATCTAACTATAATCACCCCACTAGTCAGGGTGATCTGCAAGACTTTTAAAGCTATCTCCAACTGGAATGATTTTCAGTTATGAGTCCCAGGTTTCACAATAATTTGGCTGCTGAAATAATAACAATTAATAAAAACAATAATTAGACAGCTCATATTAGCTCCAAAGTCCTTCATTCAGTATTCAGCAACCTATCAGATAAAAAGTATTTCACTTAGAAAACCCAAAATACCTTCGATTTCCTATTAACATAATCAACTTCTGTTTTGTTTTGAAGCAATAAAATAAACAATAGCATAAACATTGTATGGTAGATCGTATATCCTTTTGACATGGTTAGTGGTTGGTTGGTTATTACATGATGCATAACATAAACTGCTGGACAAAATAACGCCTATAGAATTTGCATGTGAGTCTGAGTCTAAAAGAGAAAAAGACTCCACTTCACCACTTGAGTCATCCTTGTCTAATTATGATCATTATGGTTGAATATCTATGCATGGGATGTATTAAAAGTAGGGGAAACTGTGCGGCCATGTGGCCCAGATACGATGTGAATTATCTCTGTATCCCACCACTTTGTTTACAAATAAAGAATTAAAAAAAAAAAAAAAGTAGGGGAAACTAGAAACACTGTAAATGGGATAAAGAAAGCTATTTCTTATTAGAAATAATCAACCAAATATTGTGTTATCTACATTATGAATATAAAACGCTCATGAATAATACAGTAGAGAGAGAGAATTAATAAAACAAAACTGAAAAGGACTCTGTCTCCAAAGAGTGTTTAGACATGTAGCAGTGTACATATTTTGCCCTGTCTGTGCAGACTACAATTTAATACTATCATCAATGCCATGGTAAAAAAAAATCTGTGCAGCATACAGGGACAGAGCAGTGTTGTGAGTTCCACCTTTGTGTAGCATCTAAAGAGTTGGTTACTGAAATTAACTCTTTTAAATGTATATTTCTTAATTTTATTCAAATATAAAATGTAAATATTAAATAATTGTACCTTCGAAGCACTGAAAGTTACATGCTGCTTGTTGGTTTTCTGTGTCTCCTACATTTCTGTTTAAAAGTTTGCTTCTTTATGTTCTTATATTTATTAGACATACGTGTGAAAGAGATCTGTTTTACTATGTAAAGGGTGGCAGCCATATTCACCCATTAAATATTCCAGCTCTGCTTCCTGTTTAGCAGTGCTGCACAGATATTGTGCCTTGCAGAGCCCTCTGTTTGACTAAAAAGTCTACCAGACAGGCTATGTCTGATTTATTACACAAGACCACGTGATTTAGGCTGACTGGCCTTTAGGCTAGAAGGGAGGAAGCTTGAAAGCTTTTTTATTTTTTTTATTTGTGGCAAATAAGAGTTGCCTTTTTAATCAAAGTGTGAATTCTAATAAGTCCACTTTAAAACACACACACACATATATATACATATACATATATATGTGGTTATTCGAGTCAGACAATTTCACAGCACCTACAACCCTTGTTCTTGAGACAACTGTAAAAGTTTGGATTTTATTTCACTTTCCTTATTGCTGACAATGGTTAATAGGACAAAGAGAGGGGTGACTCGACCTAATGGGATATAGACAGCAGTAAAGACTTCACAGAGGTTTAACGCTTCCCCAATCTATCCGAAGTACAACAATAAAAAGGTTTTGCCTAGAGATACACTTTAATTAAAAAAGTAAAATAAAACTCTATGATGGCTGCAACAGGAATATGACACATGACTTATTACATGTTAGCACTACTCCTGACAATGGCAGATTTACAAAAAAAATGTTACGTTGTCTAACTACTGCATTGCCACATCTCTAAGATGGCTTTTGTGGGTGAAACATGCTAGACTGAAGCTCAAATCCCATAGTGGCTAACAGGAAAGTGAGATTTTTTTTATCTTAATTATCTTAGCATGAGTCGATAGATTTGCTACTGAAGTATTAAACTTGCTGTTGACCATTACCTCATTTCCATAGATATATTTGCTAACAACAGGTTAAATTGATCCTTAGCATAAGAAAAAAAAACAGCACTTACACATAATGATAAATAATAAATAAAAAATGTGATCAGTCTAAGCGTCTGGCCATTTGGAAACGAGTATTGGACATAAGAAATAGAACAAGTCGGTCTAATTTGATTGGATTTGAGAGAACAGCTCGTCCCTTTTTGATGAAAATGACCATTTGTAGATTGAAATGATTGTGTAATGGAAGATATGATCCTTTCATTAAAAAAATGATTATATTATACATTTATTGAGGTACATCTATGGCCAGCTATAGCCCATGAAAATAGTATTTCATCAACGCAGTACTTCAGCACAAGAGATGAAAGGAAAATGATTTACAGCAGGAAGATTTGCATGTGTCGTTATTGGACTGATGACATGCCGTGTATAGTAGCACAAGAGCTTACCTTTCTTTATCACTGACTGGTCCAGCAAACTGATTCCAGATTCATCCAAAACCTGGAAGTAAAAGGAAGCATTAACACTTGGCCTGTCAAAGAGCAGTCACCTGTGTATAAAGGCGTCACATATGGCATGATGTCATCATTGGCATTCTTAGCACTGGGGGGACCTGTGTACAAAAAACGACCGGAGCATATCCATATCCATTGCTGGCCACATGCATTGGTAGATTTTATTCAAGATCTCATCTTTCAGATCGGCAAAATTACTAACAACTGTGTGGTAGGAAGGAACAAAGTCTGAATGGATTTGTTGAGGTAGGCCCCCATATTATATATATCATATAATCTTATTATTTAATTCATGGTTACATTTATTGATTTGACTGATCGAATCTGCACTAAATTCACAACATGTGGTCTGCTTCGGGCTTGGTTTAAAGTGAATAATCCAGCCAAAATGTTGGGTTTTTACTGTTATGCAGAACTCACTTAGAGATATTTCCCCTCCCTTACTCTCCCAGGTGTTAAATGGGTTGATTTACTAAAGGAGTTGGGAATCTTCATATAATAAATTGTGTGAGTATTCACTTCAATTAGCCAATCATGTGCAGATAAAATAAGCAGAGAGGAACTTGAGTTTACATGATTTGTTTTTCCTGTAAAGTGCTTTGAGACGGTACCATTAAAGGTGCTATATAAAATAAAGTTTATTATTATTATATAATTAAAGTGAATATTTACAAACAGCAACACAGGCAGCAATCAAAATGAGTTTTTAAGTAGAGTAGGGAAAGTCTAGAACTAGCTTTTCATTGCGGTCTGCGTCTCTGATACAGATTTTCCCTCACTTCCTATCTAGTGAGATCATTGTCCCTTGGATAGTAAGTGAGGGCAGAGCTCTCTAACGGAGCCGCAGACAGTATAAACCCAACAAAAGTTCTCATCCTTCTCTACTGTATCCAAAAATAACATAATGTTTTAATGATAAATAACTAAATACAAGAACCACCACTAAGGGAAATGATAAACTATATATAGGCTAGGTTATTACATTTCAGAACCAGAAATTTCAGAAATTTGAAAATCTAAATATGATGGAATTATTTTAGCTATGGAAATATTAAAGGGAACCTGTCACCATCCAAAATTCTGCTGGTACACACAGCAATTCAGAAATTTAAAAAACTAAAATGTTTTCTCTGGATTAAACTTAGGCTGTAATAAAAATAATTTGTTTAGGATGCGGCCATGTTGAATAAATGTCCGCGGGGTCAAGGCACAGAGCCATGTTGAGAGCTCAGTCTCCATGCAGTTTTTATTCGCTCTAAACAAAAGTATTTTTCCATTGCTCATTACTCACATATGGCAAAATGTACAAAGTACAATATCATTTTTGCAGAATCTACTCAACATCATTCTGATCTTGTTTGTGATAGATTCCCTAGAATGAACCAGTAAATCTGGAACACAAATGAAGGTAAAATAACTATGTAAAGCAGCACATGTATGTAAAAATCCTATGTGTGTTTAAATCTTGCCATGCTTGCTACTGTAATAGGACGGCTATGACACTAAGTACAGCTAACTGTTCAATGTTATCAATCGTTTTAGGCTAAAACAAGCTTACTAGAGAGTGTCTGAAGAGTCCTACAATGGGATTGCTGGGCAGGAAGTCAGATGTTGTGAGTAGGAATATTAATCCGCATATAATAACATTTTTCTAAGTTATCTTTGTTTTGAAAAGCTTCTCCAAAAGGACTGAGTCTTTAAAGCAAACAAAGGTTCACAGAGTTGCTGCAAATTGACACCGTTTATTAAATTTTTAGGTTGAACTCGATGGACATGCGTCTTTTTTCAACCTGACTAACTATGTAACTATGTAAATCAGCCAGAGGATTGGAGGCTGAAAATGATCTTCATGTTACTATTTTAATGTAAAAAAAAAAAAAAAGATAAAAAATGTTTTGCAGACTCCAAACAGTGTGCTTTGACTTCCTTTACCCTGACAGTGGGAATGGATATAAAAACTCAGTCAATTGTATTCATCATTAGATTTATGTGTGAGGAAAATGTATGCAGTAGCGATTTGCTTGCATCCCCTGGTGAGTCAAATTAGACAAAATTCCTTTCAATTTTGGCTAGGAGGCTGTTGATTCCCTGAATGACTGCAGACATGAATCTCTTACCATTAGCAGTTAGGCACGCGGCCGTAAAAGAAAAAAAAAATGCAACGCACAGCAATTTTTATTTGCAGATCAGAATGCAGGTGTATTGTTTTCAATTGGGGACACGCAAACAGGTATGTAAACATGTGCCGCATTCAAATCCGTAACATAAAATGGAAAAGTCTGAGTACATCAGTTTTACACATGTGTTTAAATGAATGCATATGCATGTAAATCAAGTCTAAACAAGAAAATGACATTGAAAACAGCAGGGGAATGGTGGGAGAATTTTATGCATACGTGTTTACGCCTCTAAACGTAAGCATTTTACTGATCATTTACACTGGAACCTGAAAGACATGTGTATATGATCAGTAAATTTCCTTTGGCCATCTGTATGTAGCCTATACATCAAACACTCCCAACAGTAAGTATATGCACTAATATGCAAAAAGTGTATAAAATCCCTCAACACTGCTAGACAGCAAAGGGGAACTAATTAAAACCTGTTTCTATCATCTTGATAAAATCAGAGTTCTCAATTGCATACATTTACAAAAATGTGGAAAACACATGTCAAGCTGCTTCTACAAAGCCTAATCCTATTGGAATCTGTGATGTGTCAACTCTGGAGCGTATATGGCAGTGGACAGACTGAGAGCAAACTTACCTGGGGGTTAACTCATATCTTTTTAAAGGTACAGGAATATATAACAGGAGGGCAACTGCTCTTCTGCCATGCCCATTTTGCAGAAACCTTGATGCTGTTTACAGCAACTCAGCCCCTGAATTTTTTTTTTTTAAATGTTAGAATAAAAAAAGTCTTGATTTGGTCTCTGCTTGCTAATTTGGATTGTGGAATTTTGTTTTGGGCGCTTTTAGTATTTTTCCCCTCCCACATACACCTCTTTGAATAGTTATAAAAGGACGGAGCTGCTTACAATTTTCTACTAAGCACAAAAACCTTTTTTTCTTTTTGTCCAATATAGCAGTTATTTGATGAGTATTTATTATAAGCATTTGGAATAATATGCAGTTAAATGTGCTGGCTTTTAAAAATGTTTTAATTTGGAATACATACTAAAAAATACAGATATTTTCTCATTGCAGATTCTAGTGGTCAGTATGGCTACCAGCATATAACTCAAAACATGTTGTTTTTTTTCTAGTTTTATTAATTTAATTTTTTGTACCCTAGCCTATACCAAACCTTTGCTCCTGACTGTAATTTTATTCTAAAATATGCACAGGATTTTTCCTTTTATAATTCTTCTATACAAAAGCAAAGATAATTTTAATCCTTAAAATAATTTAAATCATGTTAATTGAAAGATAATTTTAAGCATACTGGAAAATATCTGCAACCAAAGATGTATACTTGAAAAATCCAGCAATGGTAATTTTTTGTTGGACTACTATCCTGAGAAATATTGTATTCTGTTAACTGAATCATTCTTGTCATTGTAGTATTTATTTAGCATATATCTACATATCTATAGATATATAGATATATGATTATTATTGTTACTTTTATTATTATTTTTTTCACAATAACAAGCAGACCAAGATATCCACACACAAAAAAACAGGTGACAGAAGTTGGAAGGAACTATAACACTGCCAGTGTTGCTTACAACAGTTACTTTATAATTACACATAGTTTAAATCTTCTTAAAAAAGAAGTTAAAAAAATCTGTTGGTGCAACTGCTCAAGCACCCTGACAGTGTTATATAGTTTGTCCCAACCCCTGTCACTGTCACTTTTTTCTATACAGCTTGGTTTTCTTTTAAATGTAGAGCAAACAAATTAAATATGATGGTATGCGAAATGAAAAATAAATGTTGTATATTATCTATACATGTACAGGATCTATACAGGATTAAGTTATCAGATTCCAATATTTTTTTTAGCATAGTGGTCCTTTATTTCCCACACTAGACAATTGTGAGTAGCAATGTGCAGATAGGTTGCATCTCTTGCAAAAATTATATAGTATATAGCTAGCTTACTTGTTTATACATTTTTCAGTTGGCCAAGCTGCCAAAATATTTAGTATACTGCACACGCATTTAAAAATCACCAGTAAATGTATTAAAACGTGAACTCATTCAGGCTGATTTAATCCAGTTACATTTCATAATTACTCAAGATTAGATAATTTTTTATAATGTATTTAATTCATCTGAATCTGTGAAGCTAACACAAGATGAGCCTATTGTAAGTGTGTCCCGTGTGTCTATATAATAAAACATTGTTCAGGCAATCAGGAAGAGAGCAGTGCATAGAAACAATTTACAAATAGTCTGTATTTACAGCACTACAAATGGCTTCTAAACCTCATTTAGTGCTCAGCTCCACTGATTCTTATGGGATAAGATGTGATTGAGAAAAACATCCCTGCTTCCAATGCCCATAAGGTTTGCATGAATGGGATCAAATGAATTGCAGGTGTCAAAAGGGCAGACACATGCATACAGATATATGTGTGTAAACATATCATATTTATTTAGATACCCAAATAATTGAATAGCATAATTAGCTGGACATATTTGCTGTAAGGAAGGATAGTAATTAAAAAATATAAACTGAAAATTCTAAGTGCAGAGCAAGACTGCACAACTGGTTTGTTATGTTATAATAAATACAGCGAAAAGGGGGAAATCGCTCCCTCTTCTCTGAAAGGAAATTTCTATATTTCCAAAACACGTTTAGCAGCAAAGGACATATAACTCGACCTAGAAAAAGCCCCGTTTAATCATTTTAAACAATTACATGGGATAAAACGAATTATTCTATACTGTGGCTGATGTCAGTCTAACAGTCATCACAAAAGAATTTCAGCCCAAAAGCTACAAAGAGAATTTTGTTTTGTCTAAAAGCAGCAAATGGATACACGGGAACATCGAAATCAGCCGATTAAATGCGAATCAATATACTTATTGTTACAGTCGTTATAAAATAATTAGGCATTTAATTTAAAAGGGATGTTAAATAGAATATAGCAAACGGATCTCTACTGAATTCAAGTGCGACACAAAAATGTTTCCCTATTGTATAATCACCGGGGAAGGGTAAACAAACAGCATTAAACCATAGAACCCAATAACATAGAGACGACCAACGAATGTTCTATTTTATATCAGGGAACAATTGCCTCCGCAGCATCAGCCATACAGAAAGCCGGCGCTACAGGTAGCAGAGACCTCGGATCGCTGGACATATATTTTTAAAAACGAAAGTTATGTGCTTCATTAAATCAAACAAACATCCGTTTGCCTGAGGGGGTCACTGGGAAAGTAATAGAGGAAACGCGATCAAGGTTAAATCATTTTCTGTGAAATCCCAAACCAATTAGATAATTACAGAGAAAGCAGAGATCAGAGCACTCCTCTATTCAATCGCAAGTGGCAGTTCCTAATGTATTCTGATCTTCAAATAAAACACCTACTTCTGAAAATGATTTTTGCCCTTCTCCAATATTTTAAGGCAAGGACTCGGGTGCCTTGTGGGGTACATTTCGTGTGAGAGAGAAGTTTCTGCACTTACTGATATGACATCTTCCTATCACTGCTATGAAAATATATTATTTAATGTAATAGGCAGTAAGGAGAAAAGATGATAGATAGATAGATAGATAGATAGATAGATAGATAGATAGATAGATAGATAGAAAGAAATGACAGCTTAGAGAGAGGGACTCATTAACCCCCTTTTGCCGTAGAATATAAACAGTAATGCTATGAAAATATATTATTTAATGTAATAGGCAGTAAGGAGAAAAGATGATAGATAGATAGATAGATAGATAGATAGATAGATAGATAGATAGATAGATAGATAGATAGATAGATAGAAAGAAATGACAGCTTAGAGAGAGGGACTCATTAACACCCTTTTGCCGTAGAATATAAACAGTAAACAAAATTATATTGGGATAAATTCGAATATAATAATATGCATCTGTTTCCTATTATTATAGTATATTTTAAAAAAAGTTTTCACTGAAAAATTAATTTTGTCTGAGTAGCTCACTGTTTATCAATACGTTTTTAATGTATTCGTTTCAATGTGAGTGGGTGAGAGAGAGACAGACAGAGAGAGAGACAGAGAGAGAGACTTCTATATTTCAACTTAGTCATTTATGGATATTTCTCAAAGTAAAGATGAAGAAGCAGCCATGGTTGCTCTGGAAATAATCCTAATTTTGCCTACAATGCGCCATCATTTAATGTAGACCAATGAATGCTAACTTTGGCTTCCATGACAAATGATGATGATGAATAGGTGAAGCTATGAACTCTATTATGTCGGGGGCCAGCCCGGGGGCATGAAGGCCACTGAAGATGACATTATGAAGTTACTATGGACAGGGATTGATTCAGGACTAGAAGTGATTATCCATAACAGTGTACAACCATTCCTTGCGGATATAATAATACAAGTTTGACAGCTTTGAAGATAGGGGGGATCTGGCCAGGACACAATCAGGTACAGATCTGATGGGAGAGTTGTGAAGGTGAACTGTCTTACCTGCATGTCTTCCAGGTTGTGGTGTGACAGTGCGTGCATAGATAGGGCACTCTCTACCAGGCTGTGCCCACCATCTCCCAGAGCAGGTATTAGACGTGGTACTCCCCCATAGTCCCTCCGGTGGTCTAGGCTGAGCCCCCTGTGAGCTTGAGAGAGCAGAGCAGCCTCGTCTTGCCGCCCCCTCTGTGAGTGCCATGCCTGCTGCTGGTGCTGGTGGATGGGGTTGATGCCAGAGTATGGGTCTCCCAGGTGAGGGTATCCAGGTTCTTGGCTCTGTGAGTAGGATAAAGGTGGCTGGGGGTATGGGGGAGGAAAGTAAGGGGGCTGGAAGTCAGATACTGGGGTGTGACAGAGCGGGGGAGCAGAGGAATAAGCCCCTTGGTTGAGAGAGGAAAGCTGGGACAAGCGGCCACCGCTGGCAGATCCGTTCAGGGCATCAGAGCGATCCTGCAAGGCACAAAGCAACACATCGATCAGCCACAGAGCTTCACAAGGATCTCATACAGTAACTCTACACACCATGAGCACACAGAGCTTCACAAGGATCACATACAGTACCTGTACACATGTCTGAGCTACAGAGCTTCACAAGGATCTCATACAGTACCAGTACACATGTATGAGCCACAGAGCTTCACAAGGATCTCATACAGTACCTTTACACACCATGAGCACACAGAGCTTCACAAGGATCTCATACAGTACATTTAGCACACAGAGCTTCACAAGGATCTCATACAGTACATTTAGAGCTTCACAATGACCTCATACAGTACCTATACACATCCATGAGCACACAGAGCTTTACAAGGATCTCAAAAAGTACCTATACGCATTCATGAGCCCACAAAGCTTCACCAGGACCTCATATGATGCCTATACACATCCATGAGCCCACAGAGCTTCACCAGGACCTCATATGATGCCTATACACATCCATGAGCCCACAGAGCTTCACCAGGACCTCATATACACATCCATGAGCACACAGAGCTTTACAAGGATCTCAAAAAGTACCTATACGCATTCATGAGCCCACAAAGCTTCACCAGGACCTCATATGATGCCTATACACATCCATGAGCCCACAAAGCTTCACCAGGACCTCATATGATGCCTATACACATCCATGAGCCCACAGAGCTTCACCAGGACCTCATATGATGCCTATACACATCCATGAGCCCATAGACCGTCACAAGGATCCCATAAGGTGCCTATACACATCCATGAGCCCACAGAGCTTCATAAGGATCTCATACAGTACCTATACACATCTATGAACCAACAGAGCTTCACGATGATCTAATTCGGTGCCTATAGAAATCCATGAGCCCACCGAGCTTCAAAAGGATCTCCTAAGATACCTAGTGCGGTGAAAGTATCGTTCTTCCTTTCAATACACCCCTTGATCAGATACTGTCTTCAGAGTGTAGTGATCCTTACGATACGGCTAATTTTTGTGCTTGTGATGCCCCATCATAAGACCCCTCTCTCTTCACATCTAAGCTGTACCATATACCTTACAGCCAGTTTCCCAGTCTCCTTTAATAAGACTCCTCTCCCATTACACCTACATTCTGTACCATATACCTTACAGCCAGCCTCCCAGTTAATACAAAAACGCCTTCCCTAATAAGACCCCTCTCTTTTCACACTCCCAATTCTCTAAAGAAAAATAATCACACCACAAAACACAAAGCAGCCATCTGGCAGGCTTGCACTTTCTAACCAAATAGGTATAAAGTTTCATCTCTGATGATAGGCTCTGTAGTCCCCCTCCTACAACTTACCATGGCAGAGTATGCGTGGACTAACATGAGTGCAGACTTGGCAACAAGCTCCGTTGGGAAACCAGATGATAGAAGAGCAGTGAGAGTAAATCAGAGTGACTCCGGATTCCTCCAAATCACAGGCTGCCTGTCATATCCAAGAAAGGAGCCCAGGCTGCAGTAGTGAAGCTGGTAGACTCTAGCTGTGTCCTCTTCTAGCTCAGCCCCCTTCTCTCTCTCACTCTCATTCTGAGCCTAAGGCATCTCCATGCACTCCAGATATAGGCACGAGAGCGCGCCGGGGGGTCAGGAGCGCGCATTAAAGAGACAGCTCGCCTGCTCCCTACTGTTCCCTCCTGCTGATTGCAAATGTGGAAACAGACAACGGATCTTTATTTATTTACACACGAATAGTGCTCGTGTCATCAGTTATGGTGGTGAATGTATATACCATCTGCAAAATAATAATGTTGGTATTATTGACAGTTGCCACACAGGGAACCACTTACATGGTGTGTGCCCACTAGATAATATTACATGATGCATTACTTTATGGTTGTGTGATTTTTAATTTAATTTGGTACCTATAGGCGATGAAATGCATGGGATCAAACTTTGGTCTTCGGTAATGTTAGTGCTAAGAATGACAAGAAATCACAGTTCAGAGTACAGAAGAGTGGATGGGTAGATGACAGTATTTCCTGAAGAGTCTGTGTTGAGGTACTGGGAATCATCTGCAATGAATGAGCCAGCTGGAGACTGACACAAGAGATCCCAACACATAAACTGAGTTAGGAGACTGAACAAAGAAATGCAACAGCCAACTGTACACAGTCAGAACACCGCTCGGTCCAGACTCAGCTTATAGTCAAATTTCACATCCTGGGAGCTTGATGGTCATCCCATTAAACAGTACATCATATATTGCCCTATGGGAATGGAGGGAATCGTAGATATTACGTTAGACCTGCACTCAGGCTAGCCAACTTCATTTAGGAAGCTGTAAACTGGGATCAACAAAAGCACAGGGTATACCATCAGTATGTATGAAGGTCCAAGAACACAACATAACCCAGATACATTCAAACATACATCACATTACCACCATCCCAAACGAGAACATGACTGGGGATCCGACATTCAATAAAGTCTACTGTATTGTGTCTGTCATCCTATATTATAGGAATCTAAACCAATGCAGGTCACACCATTAGATGCAGGGCTGACACAGATGTGGTGCCACAGGCTAGACTGGAGCCTTCCACGCCACTGGCATTGGCACAAGAACTGGCACTCAATGTCTTATCACATCGTAGCTTTCCTTAGAAATTAAAAGAACCATTTATACAAGCGGTGGATTCATGGATTGCAGAGAAAAACCACATACTTACAATATAATCCGAATGAAAGCATGTGCTTTACAACGTGATGATCAGAACATGGCATAGAGTAAAACATCTTCATGTGTCAGAGATAATTAGGAGCTATAGCATCATCTACATTACTGCCAGGGCTAAAGAGCTGTGCTAGGCTTTTTATAAGGCAGAGCATTGTTTTTGGGGGCTGATGTTGTTACATTATAGAGAAATATGTTACTCCTGTGTATATTGTGTAATTAGCAAGTTATCAATACAATGTAACAGGAGTACATGAGTAGATTGTGTAAAATCCACAGAAGTTGCACTCAGCTCCCTCTCCAGTGTGGGGTGTTACTCTAATTATTAATGCCTCAGGAAGAACTTGCAGTCACACAAAGGGGGAAGGGGGGGGGGGGGATTGGTGACTCTTCTTTTCCAGTTAGTGGGAATGGATTCATACCCCTCCTATATTGTCCTTTGAAGTTTCTGCTAGTAGATCTCATGCATTTACCACATAGTGATGGCCAGAGGGCTGACTTTTTACTTAATCACAAGTATTCTATGCAGGGTGGAGGCTCATGCTGAAAAACGGGTGGAAAGAAGTTTCACTCTGGGTGATAAGTTATAATTTTCCAAATTGACAGTTAGTTGTCACCACCCTCCCACCTACTGCTTTTTCCAATCTGTCCGTCCATATGTGTATCTGCCCATCCATCCACCCTCATGATTTCAAGAAGATTAGTTTATGAGGACATAAATGGCATTGCATTCACATTCTTCTACCTAAGGTGATCAGGATTAAGACAAAGTGAATTAGAGTTGGACTGCATGATGCCAACAATCACCATAAATTAAAGTGACACTAAACTCACAAGTTAAAACTGAAAAAAGCATTTAAAGTGACATTAAACCCTCAGATTTTTTAACATAAACCAATACTGGAATGTGTGTCTTACTGTAATCCATGGTTCCACCACTCCAAGCCCACTCCTGTGATGGACTACAATCTCAGTACAGATTACTAAACTAAACGTTAGAATGTAATCCACCGACTAAGCTTGGAGCGGTGGCTACTTAACAACACACATAGGGACCATGGGGAACAACAGTAGCCACCCTCCAGAAGGAAGGACAGTGTCAGCACCAATTCAGAGATGATTTGAGGATCTACAGCCAAGTGATACACAAATTAGCTGCAATTTGGTTAATAGTTAAGATACCTGAATGGATTTTTTAGGTTTAACTCCTGAATTTAGTGTCACTTTAAGCTACTTAAATTTGAATTCCTAAATTCTACAGCATGTAATTTAACCATCCATACACTTTGTAAGGATTGTTTTCTCTCCAGAGAGGAAAGGATTCCATGCATGAGTGTAGAGATTGACCATCATGCGGAAAGTTCTCTAGTTCTAATGACACTGCACTGACTGGCGGAACGGACGGGGGAGGGGGCGGGTACAGCTGGCTCTGCCTCTTGATAGGCAGAGCCAGCTGTCACTCACGCAGCTGGGTGGATCCAGACAGCATTGTCGGGATCCGTTCCGGCTGCGGCGTCTCAGTATTCCGCGAGCTACAGCGTAGGGTGACGGGAGGATGCTAGTTTGTGTCCTCCCTTTACCCTAAGGAGAACTATGGGGAAAAGCACTGACCCCATAGTTCTCCTTTAAGTCCGCAATTTTACAGACTTTACGATGGGTTCAATGAACTAGTGAACTGAAAAGTGAACCAAGCCCAGGCACATTCACGCATCTCTATTTATTCGGCAGAAAACAGATAAATAAATCTCATCTCTACAGAGTGATGTTCAGGACAATATTTATCTATGACAAAGCTTTCCTATAAATTATCTTTTTTTACATTTTTGAATGTTTGACCTAAAATTGCCTGTTTCTTTAGACCACGGAGGGGTTGTAGGGAGGAAGAGGTCCCCATCAGCTTATCAGATGGGAATAACTTTAACATTTGAATTGTCAAAGCAATCTGTAGCAGCTAACATTACACTTACAAAAAAGCCAAATAGTCAGTGCCCAAACTACAGGTCCATGGGTCAACAAAATATTATTACTAAAATACAAATAACTCTTGAAAATGTTTATAGCAACATACCTAAAACTCCTATCATCAAATCCTCCTTTATTTGTGTCTCACACGCTTCCCCTCCCAGACACAGCAGCTTACAATGGGAGGCTTTCAATAGAAAGCAGAGAGCAAAGTTAGGTGTGGCTAGGTACTGAATGGCAAGCTATATTGGCAACAATACCAATGCTGGTAGCCATGTCCATGCATCCTTTTTTCAACCCACTGTAGTGAAAGCAGGTACAGCCTACATGAGAGTGACAACAACGTTCTGAATTCAGGAGCAGTGCAGTATGATAACCACATTATTATAGGAAGAATCATTAGGTGGACTTCCCTGGCAGGATCAACAGGTATTTGTGGGATATTTAAAAGGGGCTAAGAGAAAATTGTTAGTGCATATGCACTTAGAATTAAGTGCTGCATCATATATTTTCTGAGAGGCCATAGTCCTACTTTAAGATGCGCAAGCCATTGTACACCAAAGTTTACAGTGAGCAGAAGTAGCATTAAAGTGACATTAAAGTCAAATCCCCCCCTTCCCCCCATGCTGCTTTAAAGGCTTACCTTGAATGATGCCTCTTGATCCAATCATCTTCTTCTTTCCTGTGGTTTTCAGGAGTCCCTCCAGCACTGGTGGCGGTCTCTGATCCAGCGCTGACTGCTGTGTCTTCCTGTCCCATGGAGTCTGTGCACGTGCACGCTGCTGGGCTGTGTGCATTGACTTACCCTGTGTCTAATCTTCTTCAGCCGAAGATCTCTACTGCGCATGTGCCCGCTCCATGATCCCTCACAGCCACTCGAATTTTTCCGATCTTTAGACGAGCGGCGGATACAAGTAAGTAATAACCTGTTTGGTGACTTTTTTTATTTTTTCTAAATGTTTTTGCATGTACACTATATTGCCAAAAGTATTGGAACACCTCCAAATCATTGGATTCCGGTGTTCCAATCACCTAGGCACAGTGGCATCACAAGGGGGGTGCGGCCCGCGCCCGGGTGACGCCTTTGGAGGGGTGACACCAAAATGACTTACAGTCATTTTGGTGTCACCCCCTCTGAAAAGTCGGGCGCTCGGTCATGGACCGAACGCCTGACAGTATCAGGAGAGAGGAGGGGAGCCGGCGGTATACCTTATCCAGCCAGGTGACTGTCCCCTCCTCTCTCTGCCGGCGTCCATCACCAAAATGGCCGCCGGCAGGTATCAGAAGACTGCCGCGCGTGCACGATGACGTCATCGCGCATGTGTGGTGACGTCTCGGCGGGGTGACACTCGGTTTACCGCTCCGGGTGTCACCCAGCATCGGGACGTTCTTACATCACCAAGTGCAATGCAAAGCGTCAGATGCAGTGGTGTAAAGCACGCCATCATTGGACTGTAGAGAAGTGGAGACGTGTTCACTGAAGTGACGAATCCCACTTCTCTGTCTGGCAATCCAGTGGATGTGTCTTGGTTTGGCAGTTGCCAGGAGAACGGTACTTGTCTGACTGCATTGTGCCAAGTGTAAAGTTTGATGGATTATGGTGTGGGGTTGTTTTTCAGGGGTTGGGCCTGGCCCTTTAGTTCCAGTGAAGGAAACGCTTAAGGAATCAGCATACCAAAAGATATTGGACAATTTCATGCTCCCAACTTTGTGGGAACAGTTTGGGGATGACCCCTTCCTGTTCCAACATGACTGCGCACCAGTGCACAAAGCAAGGTCCATAAAGACATGGATGAGCGGGTTTGGGGTGGAGGAACTTGACTGGCCTGCACCTCAACCCGATAGAACACCCTTGGGATGAATTA